AACGGAAAAACACAGGGTCTTTTGTTCTACTCAAGTAAGTCTTAACATCCTGAAAAAGCCATATGAAAAGTGAAAAACTAAAGCAGTGTTTTGGACTATTTCATACTGCTTGGTGTTTGGGTTGGGATTCTGAGTGCTATGATATAAGAACAAGAGACTGGTCACTGCAGGGTCCAAAATCTGAGCCAGGCTGTACCTCTCTATTCTTTTTCTCATCTTATTATGTATCTGAGGCTAGCCTGAAGTATCTTCCTGTCTCAACCTCTGGAGTGTTGAAATTACAGGCATAAGACAGATACTAAGCCCACATAACACTGTTAAATAACTTAAAATTCAGAAGTTTAAAGAAATGGCTTAGAGGTTAAAAGCACTGCCTGCTCTTCCAGAGGACCTAGGTTCAATTCCCAACACCCACCTGGTGATTCACAACTGTCCGTAACTCCATAATTCCAGTTCCAGGGGATCTGACACTTTCTTCTGGCCTCCACATGCATGTACACATATACATGTGGAAGCAAAACACTCATACACATGAAGCAATATTTTTTAAATTAGCTCATCAGATACAAGGAACAGAAACTCTTACCAACTGGCACCAAGTTACTCTAGTTTTCCAAACGTCACATCTCTGTACAAATCCCTCTGAATAGAATTCAAGCATTTCCACACTTCCTGAGAGAAGTCAAAGCAACATCACTAAACATCCCTGATTTCTGAAAAACAAACACAATTACCAGCTGTAGAAATAAAGGATACAATTCTACAGATTGAAGTTTTTGACACAGACAGATAGCCAAGAATGAAGTGATGAGGTGTGAGCATGTTCGAATTTTCTCTTGTAGGTATCTTCTACATATAAGATATTATACTGCTAAGTCTAGGAGGGAATACAATCCACACAATGTCCCGGCTTCTATTACGAAACAACATATACAAATACCCTGTAAAAATACTTAAGTTGGATATCACACATTCAACAAATACTATTTCTCTTCTGTTTAGGAATAAGGAAAATAATTGTATTTTTCCCTATAAAATCTTTTTGCTGTTATTTCTTGGTTTTGACAGTTTCTCATAGGCACCAGGTTGGCCTCAACCTTACTATATGGCCAAGGATGATCTTGGCTTGAACCCTTCCTCCTTTTGCAAACTCCCTTTCCTTGGTGTTGGGATTAGAGGCATGTACTATCATACTCAAGTTGTCAACAGCCTTAACTGAGAAAGAAACACATTCTACATCTAGAGCATTCTGACCACACTAAAGGCAAAAGGAAATTATCCATATAACAGATGTTTCCTTCAAGGAAGCTAGAATGTGCTATTTCTTAAGACGTATGGGCTTGTTGTGTTCAAACATATGTTTCTCTCCATATTTTATTGTCTTTATCCCTGGTGATCTATTAAGCAAAACACTCAATTCCTTATAAATATAGTTTTATGATTATAGTGTCTGGGCACTCTGGGGTTTTAGAACATCTTGCATGCTCTTTCAGTCCCTAGACTTCCCTGCAGGAAATTCACATTATAGATTCAGAGTCCTGTTTCACAAACTGAGATTTTCAAACTGTGGAAATACACAGCTGGTACAACCTTATAAAATGAGATTTGTACAATACTGAAGCATTTTGAATCCTCATAGTCATCATTACATCAGATTATAATAGGGTTCTCTAAAGTAGCAGAATTTATAAAATGACTCTCTCTCTCTCTCTCTCTCTCTCTCTCTCTCTCTCTCTCTCTCTCTGAATTGAAAGTCCAGAAATCCAGTAGTTTCTCAGTCTGAGGCTGGATGTCTCAGCTGGTCTTCAATAAATGCTGGAATCCCAAAGAAGTAGGTTCCAATGCCAGTGAAGAACTGGACTTGCTAGCAAGGCAAGAGCAAGCAGGCAAAGAGCGAAAAAATGTCCTTCTCCCATGTCCATATACAAGCTTCCAGCCGAAGGTGTAGCCCAGATAAGATCTGTACTAAAAGTGTGTCTTCCTGCCTCAAAATATGGATTAAAAGTAGATATTCCCACTTCAAATTAAGCAGAAAGCTCTCATAGGTGTGCCTTCTATTTTGGAGTTTTAGTGAATTCCAGGATGTAGTCACATTGACAACCAAGGGAATTACATCATAATTACAACACAGAGAATTACATCATAAGCACTTTCTATGTCACCAGTAATTTAATCTTTTTTATAGACTTTAGACAAGCATTGTATAATAGATCTGATTTTCACTTTTGAAAAGTTGAGGATATTAGAATTGTGTTTCTAACTTTTGGATATTATTACTATTTATCACTCTTAAAATCTCCTTTTCCCATCTAAACAATAGAAAAATGGAACTCTATCTATCCCAACTATATACATTCAACCTCACAACTTACTAGTGAGGTTCAAAATGATCCAATTATCAGTATCGATCAGTTCCGCACTCTTGATCTCTCTAACCAGTCCCTAGCCATTTTCTAACCTGAATGTTTATAAAGCATGAGCTCTTTCTATAATCCCAGTATGAAAGGCTGGTGAAGGATGACAATGAGTTTGAGGCCAGCCTGGAATACATAGTGAGTTTGGGAGCCAATGTAGCTAATAAGCAAGTTCAAGACCAGCATGGGCTCCACAGAAAAGTCCTGTCTCAAACAAAGCCACATGCTGAGAGATTCAAAGATTTCTTTTTGTCATGTACCAACTTTCCTACCTCATAAAATCAGAGGAATCTCTATCTTATAAAAATCTTTTTGTTAGATCAGTGTTCCTAGTCAAAGATGCTGTATGGAGGGCTGGAGATATGGCTCAGTGGTTAAGAGCACTTGCTCTTTTTGAAGAGAATAAGAGTTCAGTTCCAGCACCTACATGGTGGCTCACAACTATTTTCTGACTACTGAGAGTACCAGGCATACATACATACATACATGCAGGCAAAATACTCATATATACAAAACAAATAAATCTTTAAAAATTCAAGATCACTTGCTGCTCTTTCAGAGAACCTGAATTTGGTTCCCAGCACCCACATAATGGCATACAATCATCCATAATTCCAGTTCCAGAGTATCTGATGCCCTCTTCTGGTCTCTGTGAGTATCTGCACTCTTATAGTACACATGTACATGCAAGCAAAACATTCCTATACCTAAAATAAAAATTCTTAAATTTGTTAAAAGTTGCCAAATGTATTGTTAAATAGACACATAATTACAGGCTAGATTAGACAGATGCATGTACCATTATAAGAATGAGACAAAATGAGAGCATACTCAGTTAGAAGGTTCCAGAAATATGCAGTTAACAAACCTGCCTAGTAAATGAATTAAAAATGCTTAGTAAATCCCACACACTAACCAACCACACCCAATAAAACTCATTGGTCCCTGCTAATGTAGGAGGAAGCTACAAAGAAGATTCTCAGACAAGCCAACCTATAAAGACTCTGAAGTCAGACCAGCTGCTTGGAAAAAGCAAAAACCAGCTGAATTGCCTGGAAGAGGCTAAGACCAGAGTGGAAGGAGCATTCTCCAACTTGTTTGGCTGCCTGTAGGCTGTGCAGTGTGCCTCAGGTTCCCAGCTGTTGTCACCTGTGCTGGGGTAGGCTTTGATGATGCAATGTCTTTCATTCATTTCTGCTCCTGTAAGTAAGCCCTCACCCATATTCCTGTAATATACCAAAAATATACTCATTAGTTCACAAAACTGAACTTTGGTGGTATACAAACTTTGGTCTGTCATGCGCTCTATTTCTGGAGTATGTAGATAGATATGAGCAGATGTATGCGTCTGTGTGTGTGTGTGTGGTGTCTTCCTGGGAGAAGTTTTGTCACACAGCTGGCTGGCACCCAAACAGTGACATGACAGAAACAAATGAACTGGGGAGGAATGAGTGCATGGTCCTGTCTAGAGGTAGCAAGGTATATAACTGAGGTTGAGCCGCTTGAGGGGGTTGAATCCATAGACAAAATTCAGGTACAGTTGTCCTTTCCTGTATGGTGTGTATTGATGTCCCTTTGTGTTATGACAGCTGAAGGGCTCTAGCAGGTCCAAGCATGGCAAACATGGAACTGGTGGGCCTTGCCCTTCCCCCTTCCCTCTCCCTCATAAACTGACTGAGTATATATCTAAAGCTAGCCACCAAGTTCTATTCCCATATTTGGACACTTCTTATGCCAGATTCATTCTTACGGCTGATCACCAAGGTCCAGCTATCAAAGTATTGAAGTCCAGTAATCAAAAGCCCCCTTTTGGCTACCGCAGTTAACATGCCCAATCAAAGCATACCACAGCACTCTAGCCCAGCCTTACACAGACCTGTGGTGATATACTGTTTATGATCTAATAAAGTCATTGGAGATCAGAATGCAAAGCTAGCCACAGCCATAGAAGCTGGGCGCTGGTGGCACACACCTTTAATCCCAGGACTCAGGAGACAGAGGCAGATGGATCTCTGTGAGCCCAAGACCACTCAGGGCTACATGAGAGTGAATCAGTCTAAAGGAGAAACAGAGCTCCTGGCTTTAATCCCAGCACTAGAGAGAATAGAAGGAGCTCAATGCAGTCTCAGGAGCAGTCTGAGATTCGGTGAGGAGCAATGCATTCTGGAGATGCAATCTGAGGTTTGGTGGATCGCCTCTTCAGTCTGAGCATCGATCGGTAGAAGTGAGAACTCTCTAGTGGCTGGTTGCTTTACTTCTCTGATCTTTAGCTAGGCAGACCTCTCTCTTTTTCCTCTTAAAAAAATCACACCTACAAGTAATCTGCTGCTGTCTTCTGCCTGAGTCAGAAATCAGCCACTTTTCTTTTCCACTTAATAAAAGATCTTTGTGAAAATAGGTATTAGGGTGTGGTCTGTGCCTACTCCGGAGGTTGGGAGGCAGCACCACCCCAGGCGGAGGAATCTCAGAATGGCAGTCTTCACCTAGTGTGGCACTCGTGCTTGAAGAGCGGGGCCCACCACATTATTATGGAGTTGACCTGAAAAGAGTTCAAGGTTTAAAGGGAGTTTCGCACACAAGGGTAGAGATTGCTGGCAAGCAACAGCAGAGGCTTCCTGGCTTCTGTTGTGTGTGGCTAGAAATGCATCTCTGGTGGAAATGGCAGCCAAGTAGGAACTTGCTTGTGTAAAGCTGCAATTGTAACAAGAAAGGGAGATGTAGCCAGCATCTTCCACGTCATCTTAAGTAAATTAGATAAACAAGAGGATGAGAGAGATTGGTAACAAAAGCAGTTGAAGATGTCCATGGGGTCCAAACTTTTAATAGAAAAAGAGAGAAAATCTATAACCCAGCCTGCAGGGGAGGGGAGCTTAACAATGGCTCCATACAAGAAAACTAGGAATCAGGAAATATTCAGCACTTGAACTGCTGGGACTGGGGAAGACTTAAACAAACAATAAAAGAGTCCATCACAGACTGGCTTGTGAAGCTGTGTGGCATAGGAGCAGATGGCATCAGTAAGGGCGCAGTGGAGGCAGGAAACTGAGTAATACAACTCCCCATCCCTCCTTAAGGCAAACACTGCATAACCTGAGACACTGTGAGGGCAGTCAGTCCAGATGGACTGGCTTACCAGAGCCATTAGAAACACCTGGTTATCTCTGTCTGTGGTCCCCACAATCAGCAGGACCAGAGAAGTAGCAGAGCTATTGAAGGAACGAGGAGTAAGAAAAGCTGTGTCTGAACCCCCATTCACTGGGCCGGACAGAACTATATTCCTAGAGAAGTTCAACAAAAGACTGATCCAGCAGTGACCCAAGGCTGGTGTGGAGCTTTAGCAGGGTTACTGGGCTATTTGGTTGGGCAAGATCTTGATGAAGTAGGAAAAGCTTTGGCAGATCTCAGTAACTTAGACTAGCATATAAAGAGTGTCCATAAAGTAGGAGAGTGACCTAGAAGAGACAGCAAAAAGGTAAAGCCCAGGAAGACTTCACTCTGGGTTCCTCAAAGACAAATGTAGCAAGATTTGTGTCGAGCTGGAGTTCCTAAGAAAAATATTGACAGAAGCCAAACTGTGGTGAGGAGCTTCTGAAAGGCTCTAACCCAAGGAGCAGTGCACAGACGTCTGTGATAGAACAGCACAGGTGAAGACGATCAAGGCTGTCCCAGGCATGGGTGATTATTCCCCCCAGACTAAGGAGGGTTCCTGTCTCTCCAGCAAGAAGTTATGCTAGGGGTGGAGGTGGTTGATCCATCCCAGAACCCCCCCCCCCAACAGCCAGGTATTGCGATTGAGGAGGCAGCAGCCATCATGCCAACACAGAATCACTCTGACCCAGGGAGCCAGCAGGTACAGCAGGGGAGAACAGGGCCACATTCACCTTTGGCCTTGAGTAGGTCTGAGGATATTAAGGCCCCTGAGTTTATCAGATGTGGAGAAACATAGGGAGGCTCCAGGATATAGAAATAAAATGGTTCAGAGAGAATGACTGAGGATTACAGAGAGCTAATTAAGTTAGTGTCTCCTATCCATGCTTTGTATCCAACCATGCTCTGCAATTGGTACAAATGGATGGAACTTTTTCATGCTGTACTAGACCTTGCTTGTGGTTGACCTTAGTATCTTCTTAGTTGTGAACTTCTGGGATCACCTGACACTGCTGAGAGCAGATGACCACAGACTTTCAACATGCTTCACCAAGGTTATCCTTTGTTGTGGGATGGTGGTTCAGGACGCTGCCTTACCCTGCCCTGCCCATCCTCTGGAGAAGGTTTTGTTATATAGTGATGTAATGCTAGCCTCTGCATGTTTTCCAGGTTTGGAAAGCCACTGGAGAGACAAGCCAAGCAGCAAAAAAGACACTCAGACAAACTAAGCTGAAAAGCAAGAATGGAGTCCCAAAAGCTGTCCTCTGACTTGTACACGCACTCCATGGCACAAACACACACACACACACACACACCACCCATCCTATACACACACACACACACTTTTTAAAAGGAAAAAATAACCTCTTTCATTCAGTAACTAAAATCATCAGTTGACAAAAGAAATCAGTAGCAATATAACGGATTTACATAACATTCCATCAAGTGTTTGATGTAACTGATACACACCTACACCCAAATGTCAAGAGCTGGATGGACCTGGAGGGGGCACAGCTACCAGGTTTAAGGCAATAGGCCAATATGGAAAGCACAGCTAAACTTTTAACCATTTATTAACCATTCAGTTTTAACCAATGGCTAATTCGGGTAAAGTGCCAA